TGGTCTGGGGTCTAGAGACCCTCACTCGGGATGCAGTGCCTCTCACTTCCTCTTGGGTGGAGGTCGCCTGGCTTCTTCCAGAATCACACTGCTGCCTGCAGTACCCACTGACTTGGCCTTCCAGCCACCGGCCACTGAGAGTCCACCGAGCTGCTGAATGCACAAACCCCAGGCCACCAGCTGCACGGCCACACACGTGTGTCATCAGGGCTCCCGCCCCCTCTGGGAGCCATGCTCGTCTCAAAAAAAATTTTGAGAATTTTTATAACTAAGGTAAAATATAAGTATCTACATTCCTCTTCCTACAGATAACAATGGTTGACATTTTGTTGTCTTGCGTTGAGTCTTAGACAAAAAATAAAGGCTGTGTCGCAAAGAACGTTTAAGTCCCCGCTGAGCACGCCCAGCCCCTTCCCCGCCCCACGCCAGGGAAGCTCCGAGCGCCGATTTGGCATCTGTTACGTTCGTCCCTTGAGAACACATTGGCACACCCGTAGCCGTGAGCCATAGGTCACCATGTTTTATGCCTGTCTCCAACGTACATACGTGACATCTTCCCGCAACACGCTTGTGTCATTCAGCGTCACGTTTCTGCAGTTTCTCGGTGCCGATGGGTGTGTCTCCGACACGTTCCTTCCACCTGCCGTGTAGAATCTGTCTTGGAATCCACCACCTTTCTCCACCCACTCCTCCGTGGATGAACACGGCGGCCACCTGCAGAGGGTGGCGATGTCACACAAGGCCGTGGCGGGGTTGTCGTGGCTGCGTCTTTGTGCACAGGCGTGTACCGGGCTGTGCATGGCTGGGTCTCAGAATGCTCCGGAACCTAGAATTCTCAGTATGTGATGGAAAAAAAATAAAAGAAAAAGAAAAAATGCTCCAGGACCTGGCCGTGGTGCTCCAAAGCCTGTGGACCCGTCTGCGATTCCCCCAGCCGTCTCCTCCCATCCTCACGGCACCGGCGTTGGCTGGGAGTCCCCACGCGTGCCCACGTGGGAGCTGGAAGGCAGCATCTTGCTCTGGTTGCAGTCGCCTGACGCCCAAGTCTCTTTCCTTTTCTCATCAGCAGGTCTGAGGGTCCCGCACACGCCCGGGGGGCCGTCTGTTCCTCCAGCTCTCCCCTCCTGCTCAGGAAAGCAACCTGTGCCTTGGAAAGATTTAAAGCAAAACTTGAACCCATTTTTCTCTGCAGAAAAACAACAACAAAGTAAGCCACTCGAACGCTTTTGGGCTTTCGTGTTAGACTAGGTGTCTGTGGCAGTCATGACCCGTGTGAGCAGTCATGACCCTGTGGCTGAAACAGGCTGAAACTCCAGTGTCCGGGCTGTGACCCTCACTGCCCCTAAGGCTGTCCAGCTACCTGAGCCCCCAGGCCCAGCTGGGCGGAACCACAGGCCCTCGGGGCAATCCAGGAAGGAGGAGGCCAAGCAAGGGAGGAGACACAGCCTCCCTCTTCTCAGCAGCTGGAAACATCTGGCCTGGCCGCTTGCACCAGCTACCAGAGGGCAGGGAGCCCCCTGGCTGGGGAGTGTCGGGTGACCTCAAGACCTGGCTCTGAAGCCACTAGCCCCCAAGAATCTGAAAGTGGGACGAGGAGGGTCTGGCCAAGGGTGCCCACAGCAGACCCCAGGCCAGGCCTGTCTTCACTCGGAACTTTGTTTCCAGGGAGAAAAGTGAGACCCCACCCAGCCGTCCCTCCCTTTCTGCCGTGAGGGTGTCACTGGGCCCTTGCTGGGACTGTGGGTGCCCGATGGCTGCTCCCTGGTGCTCACACTGGCTAGCCCTGGCCAGAGCCCTGGAGGGCAGGGCCTTGGGGTTTGCAGGGTGCCTGGGGTGCAGATCCAGGTGGGAAGACATGAGGGAGACGGGCCCAGGGACGATGGCCACATGAGCCAGTGAATGAATGAGTGAAGAAGTGATGTGTGGCAGCCAGTGCACAGACTCACTGATACCCTGCCACGGGGTCAGTGCCCAGGAGGGTTATGGGGACACCAGCCTGTCTCTGGCACTTTGCCAAGCAAGCCCCTCAGGTGGGGCCTGGCCTCCCTCAGCCCTGTCTGCCCCACCCCTTTGAGGATTCGAGTCCCAGGGAGGCTGTGCAAGAGCTGGGACATGCCAGAAGCAAAGGGACAGCTATTAAACAGTTCACATCACAGGTGGGGAAACTGAGTCACCAGCTGGCCCACCCTAGCAAGAGTGGGAATGGGCTCTGGAACCAGAGTCCCCAGGTTTGGCTCCAAACTCTGCCGATGTGAAGGTGGCGTGCGTTGGGGTGGGTTCTTCTAGCATCTGTGCCTTGGTTTCCCCCCAGAATCACTGGAAGTGTTAATGACTTACACTAGGGTAGGAGTTTCCTTTGACTGGCCCCTGCGCAGCGCCGCAGCCCTGCCTGGGCTCCCCGTCCTTCCCCTCACCCTCGGGCCAGCTCTGTCCTCCGGAGCGCAGCAGCCGCAGAGCACCCGGCCATTCCCACGCGTGCCGGGGCCCCAGGAAGACCCGAGGGCGGCGGCGGCAGTTTATTAAGCCAATAAAACCTTCAGTGCCTGAGCTCCAGAGACCCCTGCAGTCTTTTTACGTGCATGGAGGAGCCAGAGGGCTTCCTGAGCCTGAGTCTTTCGTGCTGCGTGGAACAGGGGGGTGCAGAGCAGTCTGCTGTCTCCCCCACACCCCTGTCCCAGGACAGCCAGTCCCGCCACCTGCCCCATCTCGGGGACGCCGCTCTGTTCTGGCCTGGCGTCCTCACTCCACGTTCCAAGGGCGTGCGGCAGAGCCCGGGGGACTCGTGGGCCCAGCTGTCTGCACGGGTCTGGTCATCACCCCTGCCCTCCACTCCGGGTCCTGGTGGGGGTCTCAGGCCGCGGTCCCTGCGTGGCCTTCGCCCCTCGCGGAAGGAAGGCGGGAGCCAGGCCGCGGCTGCTCTCTGAGAACCTCTCCTGGCTTCTCTCCTCTAACTCCGCTCCCTTCCTGGTTTGTCCCCCCAGCCCCCACGCCTTTCCTCCCGCCTCTCCTCTTTGTCTCCTGGAACTTTCCCTGGTGTGCCTAATTCCTGGAGGCCACGCGGCTCGGAGAGGCGGCCCCACCTCGCGGCGCGCACACAGCCCTGAGAATCGATTCAGAAAACGATTAGTCACAGCACAGCGGCGCTGCTAACTGTGGCATTTTGCTTTGCGGTTATTGATACATCATCAGAATCGAGGAGCCATAGTCAGGAAGGGGAGGGGAGCGGAGGGCCCAGCGGGGACAGGGAGGGGCGGCGGTGGCTGTCCTGAGATGTCAGGGAGCCGGGCTCCTCCGGGGTGGATTGAGGCCCTGGCGGGAGCTGGCGCCTGGACTGTGCTGGTCGCAGCCTCCCTGTCCTCGTGTGGGCCCGGGCGGTGGCTTTGCTGCAGGTCTGTGACTGCACAGTGCTGATCTCCACGCAGACCCGGGGCCCTCGCTCTTCCTCCTCTTCCTCCTCTTGCTCCTCTTGCTGCTGCTGCTCCTCCTCCTCCTCCTCCTCCTCCTCCCGGAAAAAGAGTGTGTGGGCTACAAGTGCTGTTCCTTCATTTCTTCACTCATTCATTCATTCGCTCACTCATCATGTGCCGACTGCCTGCGATGAGCAGACTCAGCGTGTCGCGGGGAAGCTCCCACCTTAGGGCATCAGTGCTAAGGGAAGCCCGAGTGAAGATGATGCTGATCGGTGCTCGGGGTGCTACAGGCCGTGAGGAAGGAGGCAGTGCCGGGGCAGAGGGGCTGGGGAGTGGGCTTTAGCTCGGGAGGTCGGGAGGCTCCTCCGGGGGCCGAGTGAGCAGACGCTGCCCAACCGTCGACAGCCTCGAGGTGCGTCCGAGAAGGGACCCTCGGGTGCAAAGGCCCTGAGGTCCAACGCAGCAAGAAGGCCCCATGGGGGCAGAGGTGCAGCAGGGTGGTGGGGGTGGCCGTGTTGCTCATGGGGCTCTATCGGCCGGCTGGGGGAGGAAGGCTCCAGAGTTTTGGCTGAGACCACTGGTCACGTGACACCCCCCTTCCCACCCTCTCTCCTTTCCTTCTACACGTGCGAAACCCGTTGCCAGGTGGGTCTAGAAACACATAGCTGGATTAGGCTCTGTCCGAGTTTGGGCCGATACAGCAAGAGGCCATAGACCAGGGGGCTTAAGCAGCAAGCATCCACTCCTTACATGTGTGGAGCCCGGGAAGTCCAATGCCACGGGCCCAGTCTCCAAATATCACACCGGGGTTCGACTTCAACGTATGACTTTTGGGAAGACGCAAACATCCAGACCGCAGCAGACTCAGTCCCTACTCGGGGCTGACGCAAGCTGACAGAGTGAGCTGCCAAGAGGCAGAAGCCAGGTCCCCCCGACTTTGCAGGGAGGCTGGTGCCCCGAGATCGCACTGTCAGCTTCTAGAGAGGGCCCGAGACAGAGAGGGAGAACTGGAGGCTGCCTGTCGTGACTCTGACGTGTTTTGACGGGAGGACGGCCTCGCTGCCCAGCGAGTGCCTGGCTAGCGTGCAGGTACCCCCCGCAGGCCCGGCAACCTCACGCGGGACGCGGCAGTTCCCCTAGCTAGGGTGAAGCCCAGCGCCGGGACCTGGGACAGCTCACAGGGCGAGTGCCGACGACTTACTCCCAACAGGGCTCTACTGGCTTGAGGACCTGGGTCCCATCTTGGGGACAGGTGACGCGGGCCATCCCACCACGGGTCCGCCTTGCCAGCCTATTGACATGCTCCCCTCGGACCCCAGCATCAGTTTTGGTGTCGTGAGTCTCAGCCGCAACCCCCAGAGCCTCGGGGCTGGAAGCCTCTTTACCCGGGAGGTGGTAAACAGAGGTGCCTCGTGACACCTTCTCCCTGCCTGACGTCCTCTCATTTGCGGCGTTCAAAAGATGCTGCTCTGTGACGCTCCGTCCTGTGATATTTTTAATCAGGAGCTCGGGAGAGCCTGTGCCTGATGCATTCCAGATATTCAGAGATTGAAAACGGTTTTGTTCTCTTGTTTTCTCTTTAACATGCAGCGCGAAGTCAGCACAGCCGGAGGAAATTCTGCCAGCGCTTCCCCCGAGCCGGTCTGCGGCGGCCTCCGCTGGGAACCCGTCCCGGGAGCAGCCCCTTCTGCAAACAGGTGCGTGCCCCGTGCTCGGCGCCTTCCGCCCCGCCACCCGGCTGGTGCTCGGGCTGGTGCTTCTGCGAGGCCCGGGGGAGCCCTCGGCCCTCGGGGCGATGCGTGGGGGTGTCCACGGGGCAGCGTGGGCTGCAGATGGGAGGGTCCGCGCCGGCCCCCACCATTGGCTCTCGACCCCTCTGTGGTTTCACCTGCCCTTCCCTGAGCCCCTCACGAAATGCAAATCAGCGAGTGCATAATAGATAATTAATAGACTGACCAGCCGGCAAGGGAGCTAAGTAGATAAATAATTTTAATTATCCTTGAGTTGCCATAAAGCCCCTCACTGCCTTTTTATTAAACTCTCTTGTTTACTGGAGTCATTTGTATGGCCTGTCATCTTGCCTTCCTGCCTCCTGGGTGGCTCCCACCAGGTCTGGCCTAGGTGGAATGACGCGTATGACCGCAAGAGCCTTTCGCGTCGGGCCCCGGCGTGGGCACAGATGTGGGAACACTCTGCCCACGCGTCCAGGCTGGGGCACAGAGCACCCGGCCCGCCCGCCGCCCTCCCCGCCAGCCCCGAGGTGGCTGCGGCCTGTATTTGGGCCCGGCTGGGAAATCTTGATTGTACTTGGCACCTGAGCTGTAGGTATGAGCTCATTCCTCTCCCCGGGGATGGCCTTGGCCTATTAATAGCCTCGGCCGAGGTTCCCTGGCTGCTGCAAATGCCAAGAGAGAAAGTGGGTTAATAAACGTAAAAGAAAACTCCCTCGGAGGGCCCGGGGCCAAGCTCTCCCACGCTCGCCGAGAGTCACGGCTGCCGGGCCCCAGGTGGGGCGAGAGGTTCCCTTCCCCGACAGAGGCCTGGTGCCCAGGCTGGGGTTTGAGTTCCGGTGTGACAAAGCTCCAGGTCCCCATGGTGCTGGGATGGAGGAGGTTGTGCCGCCCAGGCAGGTGCAGGAGGGAGGCCCAGGGAGGGGATCTTGACTATCTTGCACGTTCCTGGCGCCCGGTGCCCTCTCTTCGCCTGTTTCGGTCACATCCTTGCACCTGCTCAGGAGGGGAAGGGAGCGTGTGGCACTCGGGCAATGTCCCCAGGCAGGATCCCCTCCTCGTCTCCCCCACTCCCGGCATCTGTGGCAGGAAGGGTTTGGCCTGAGTCAGAAACGCGTTAAGAATATAGCAGGGCCCAGGAGCAGAGCAGGGCGGGGACGGGTGCCATTGGGGGGCGCCAGGCAGGCAGGCACCGCTCACAGCAATTCACTGGATTAGCAGAATTTCGGGAGTGTCACATGCATGTGCGGTGGCTGGCGTTCTGCTCGGACGTGTGAGCCGTCCCGGCCGGCGAGCTGTTGGCTAGCGCTGCCCAGCACCTTTGGCCTGGGAGTCTCACGTCCTGGTCTCACTTACTCCCCGGCGGCCTGTGTCTCGACGGGGCACAGAGAGTCACGGCCACCCAGCCGCGCCCTGGCAGAGCCGAGGAGGCTCACGCCCTGGTTATCCGCCCGCGGCCCCGGGTCGGGAGGTTCCGCAGAGCACGGGGCCTGTCGGTGAGATGCCTCCTATTCCCTCTGCGTCCTGCGTCTCACCCGCTGGGCTGAAGTCAGGCTGTGGGCGCTGCTGCCTTCACGAAGCGCGGCCCTGGCTGGGCTCTGGCGGGCAGCGATGGCAGAGCCTGGGCAGCCTCCAGCCCGGCTCCATAGCGCTGCCCGGGCCCCGCCGAGCCCCTGCCGGCCGCTCTGCCCCCTTGGAGGGCGGCCGTGGGCCCAGGCCAGAGAGGGAACTCGGGCTGAGCAAACTGAAAGGCCTTTTTACGTTCCACTCAGAGGAATTAAAGACTGAAGAGCGGCCCAGCAGAGGCTCCAGGCCCTTTGAAGAGTTTGTTTAGCACAGAGCTGAGCCGCGTCCAGCCCGCCCTGGCTGCTTGGGGGAAATGCCGGGCCGGGGAGAGGCCGGGAACGCTGGGGCCGCTTCCGCACGGTCGAGGGGCAGGTGCTCGCCGGGGGCCGCCGAGCCTACTCTAGGGACATCTGTCCAGAAAGGGCAGACCAGGGACAATGGGACTGTGGCCTCCTTAGGAAACAGGGGCAGAAGCCCACCTCCCCGAAAGCAGAGAGCAAGCCCCATCACGAAGGTGTCCGTCACCCTGGGTCCCAAACGTCCCTTCCCCAACCCCCACCGCCCCTCCACCCTGGCGAGAGCCAGTCACCAGTGCCTGCTATGTCTGCCTGGGCTCCACAACTGAGCCACCTGGGCCCACATTCGGGGAGGGTGGGGGCAATTGACTAAAAGTGGCTCCTACCCCCCCTCCGGTGCCCCACCTGCCCAGCCAGCACCGCCTGCGAGCAGCACACAACATGGGGCAGGTGGCACCTGAGAAGCGGGCGTGGGAGACTCCAGATGAGGGAGGGAGGGGTCGGGCTCCCCGGCCCCCGCAGGCATGTGCAAATTCTGCCCCCAGAACTCCGAGCCTGTTCAGGGCAGGCCGTCCTTGCTTAGCCCAAGTGCCACCAGCACCTTCCGAGAGAGTCCTGGGGTCGGAGCCCAGAGCAGGGGCCCTTGGGGTCGTCCCCTCCCCTAGAGTGAGGGGGGTCCAGAGACCTTCAGTAGAATCGGTATTTTTGTTTTTAAATTAAAGTCAGCTCTTAGTAGCTCCTTGTTATTGCACAAGCAACAGATACTCATTAGAGAAAATACAGACACACCCTCAATCCGCCCGTCAGGAGTAACCACAGTTCACGCCTGGGCATGTGATCTTCTGGGTGTTTTTCTACACGTGGGAGTGTGCACACCAGCTTGCAAAAGCAGGATCATGCTATGCATATTGTTTTGTAGACTGTTGTTGTTACTTAACAGTATTTTCAGGAACATATTTCTAGGTTTCCATTAACCTCATTTTTAATGATCAAATATTATTCCATTGCATGAAGGTGCCATAACCAACCCCACACGCCTGTTCCCAAGCACTGGAGCAGGCGTGAGCCACTGACCCTGTTTCCAGACCTCTCTGCCACACTGTAAGAACCCGGAAGATTAATTTTCCAAACAGGAATTAGCAAATGATTATTCACATTATAAAGGAGTCTGCAAACACGCACTCCAAAGAGCTTCCTTGAGAAATGGGCTCCCCCAGGGCATTGAAACGGGGTGCGGTGTATAAAATCCCAGCTCACGGCCAGTGGCACACAGGGTGCCACATCTGGCCTCCTGTCCTTTCCCAGGTGGACCCGATGCAAGTGCGGGCGTATACACGCACACACACATGTGTGCATGCATGCAGGCAGACATGCACGGGTGCATACATAAACATGCACCACTACAGGCACATGCTCCTATGTACATGCACACAGTGTTTGGAAGCTTCTGGTTGTCAGCTGAAAGGTGATGTTAATTAATTCATTATTAATCACATCTATGTACCAGGTGCTCTGCTCTTAGCAACCATTCCTGGGGAATAAACTACCATTTCTCTCTAACAGATAAGGGGAAATAGAAGTTGATGCGGCTGAGCGGGTCAGTGGCCCCAGCCCGTGTGACTTATTATGTAACGAGACAAGCAGACATGCCTCAGAGAGAACATGTTTAGGGGACTTTTAATAAAACCAGGTTTAAAAGAAACCCAGGACCCCAGGCCTGCAGGTTGGTGTCCACAGGCTCAGCACCTGGGTGGGCAGACGGCGGTGTTGCCGGGAGCACCTCCCACCTGGCAAGTCCAGGTGGGCCCCTCACCCCACCCCCGCCCTCACCTTCCCAGGACCACCCAGAGGACCGGCCCGTAGGCAAAGCATCGGCGTGTGTTTACATAGCCATATGCCAGAGGAACAGTCAGTAAACCTATTTCTGGTGTATTCATATTCAATTTCAGGTATATATGTTGCTAAAATAACCTGTTGAATTGAAATTCGCATACCATAAAATGAACCGTTTTAAAGTCAACAGTCCAGTGGCGTTAGCACATTCACAGAGTTGGGCAGCCAACACCTCTATCAAGTTCCACAACATTGCCATCGCTCCAAGGCAAAACCCCTTACTCGGGTGTGCTTTTAGGTGCTATTTGGAGTTGCTGCGTTTTCACAGGTGCCCAACTACCACCCGCCCTCCCCCCACTCTCCCCTAAAAGCAAAATCTTCACACACCAAGGCCAGTCCGAGAGTGTATACAGCCTGGGATTTGGTGCCGTGCATTCATTCATTCATTCACTCATTCTTTCACCGTCTGTTTTTGTGGTGCCTGCCAGGTTTGGACGCCTGGTTCCAACCCTGGCTCCGTCTTGTTACTGAGCGACCTTGGGCAATTCACTTACGCTTTAGGCCTCAGTTCCTTACCCGTAAAATGGAACAATAACATCTTTCCTGAAGAGCTGCTGACAGGAGGGAAGGGATGTGTACTTTTTTGCATGAAAAGGAGCCACCAGAGTGCCTGGCACACCTGGATAGCTCTGTACGTGACAAGTGTTTTAAAATTTGTTTTTAATCGTGGAAAAACACACATAGCGAAAGTTAACATCTTCACTGTTTTTGGTTCATGGCATTAAAGTAGATACACATTGCTCTGCAACCATGACAACCGCCCGTTGCCTGAACTCTCCATCTTGCCAAACTAAAACTCTGTCCCCAATACACAACAGCCCTCCCCCAGCCCCTGGCCACCACCCTCCACTTTCTACCTCTGCGGGTTTGGCTGCTGTGGGGGCCTTGGGTAAGTGGAGTCACGCAGTGTCTGTCATCTGGGGTCTGGTTTATTTCACTCGGCATCATGTCACGTGCTCGGGGTCCATCCGTGTTGCAGCACCTGTCAGAATTTCTCTCCGTTTACGGCTCAGGCATATTCCGCGGACTGGGTGGTCCGTCCATCCCTGGTGGGTACTGGAGTTGCCGCCCTTGGCAGTGGCGAGTGACACTGCTGCGTGAGGTCTGTCTTGCCGTGGTGGGAACCGGACTGATCTGGACACTCGCTTTCCAACGAGGTACTTTCCTCCTGCATTTCTCACGTGTAGAAGCGCACACACCCCGTGAGATCAG